AGGATCGACGGTTGCCTACTACTACAGGTGTACTTACATGAAGGAACCTCAGTTTTGTAGGAAAACACAGATGTCAAAGATTTTTAAATTTGTGGGATTTCACTTAAATCTCAGAAGCAGCTTGCCAGACCTCAAGGCCTGGCAAAAACATCCTGGCTAGAGACTTTCTTGTTGAAACCGATTCTTAAAGGTCAGTTATTTACCTTGTGGTAAAACAAGTGGCAGGTTTTTTTGTTTTTTTATATAATATGGAATTCCCTTGTTTAGAGAATCTCTTTGACTTCCACTCATAAGTAATGTAGTCGTCCCAGTTCAAGCTTATAACATTGTTACACCATTTTGTATATTGTGTTCTTTGCCCTCCAACCCAAAGGGAGACAGTGTCAGGATCACTGAGCAGTAAGACACTGAAACGAGTTTGTGAGCAATCTCTAGTTGAGTAGTTAGTTGGTAAAAGAAATGGTTTCAAGAGCTAGGAGGAACAGCTATTATATTGTAAGTCACCAAGAAGGGAAAAATATAAATCAACTAAATGAAGTATTGTAGCAGACAGCAGAAAGAGCTTCACAAAATGTTCTGCAAATTCATTATTTAGTTTTAATCTGATAGGAAATTAAAAACTGGAATTGTGAGTGCAGTTTGGTTTACTAAGGTTGTTACCACCATATTGAAAATGTTGCTAAAATGTTTACCGTATTTACTCAAATAGAATATAACCCTGATTATAAAATGACCCCCAATAATCGGATTCTAGATATGGAAAATTATAACAAATATATAAATTTTCCAGGTATAACACTTAATTTATTGCAGATTCGCCTTGAATTTGTCTCCCTTCTATTGCTACATCAGGGAAAATTTAAATTTGGGGTGGGTCAGGTAGCCCTTTGCTGTTTGCTTCCCCCAACTTTTTCCCCTGGCAGCCCCTTCCCCCTCTCGTTACTATAAGACCCTGCTCTCCCTGAACACATGGAAGTGAGGAGCAAAATTGCAAACAATGATCTTGAAATTAAACATGGCTGTAGCAACTGCATGTAGTTCCCATGCGTGTAGTTTATCCATAATCAATGAATGTTACCTTTATAAACTGCTGCAAGCTTTAGCATCACTTTGGCACGTGTTTGTATTATAGTGCAAACTATGCATGATATTAGTGCAAAGCCACAGGCTCGTGACTTACCGCATAGTTCATTGGGCTGGGCCCCACCAGAGTCAACAGCATTTGAAACCACAGTGACTTCACAGCTCAGCACTGCTCAGTATGTGTGCACTCCAGATATCACTCCTGAAGGATCCATGTGCTAATTAGCTCCCACTCATGACTGGAAGTGGGTGTTTGTCTCAAGTTATGGGATGCTCCAAAATTCTATATGCAGATGAGGCACAAGGGCAACTTGGTCCAGCTTCACTGCTTGGTGGGTAGTACCACACTAATATGTGCAAGACTGAAAGAGGGGGTACCAGTGAGTCTGGGTGAATTGTATGTGATGGAGTGGCTCACCATGACTTGAAAAAGAGTTGGTGGTGAGGGGGACTGCACTTAATGAGCACTACCATATATTTTATTCAGATGGGCTGCACTAACCTATTCTTGTGGTAGGCTTCCATGTGTTTTATAGTCATGCTTAGTGTTGGCTACCTTAAATCAGCTTCATAGTTGGTTTCCATTGATGAGCACATGCTGCTTTTGGCAGCAGTTATAATTATAGTGTATTTAGTGAGGTTTTGTTGTATGTTGTTATAAGGTGAGAGGCTTCTCCCCCCACCCCCTATGCCAACTGGGGACAGGGAAATTTTATCTTGTATTCAAGTAAATATGGTAATTGAGTGCAAACTGAGTTAGAAAATATTTTTTTTTAAGACAAACCTTTGTTTTTTTCCTGTAACTAGACTGATACAACAGTAATAAATGTGGTTTCAATAAACATGAACTAAAACAGCATTTGGAGTTGAGATACTGTGCCTTTTATATGCAGCATCCTTGACTCTTAAGAGTTAAGCTGAGAGAAATAGCATATTCCAGAAGCTACAAACCACAGATGCTGGGTGAAGAGCACCTTCATTTTCACTGTCTATAATGTTAACTTAACTTAGTTCAGCTTAGAAATAAGCTCCTTGTATCAACTTGGTGTCTTCTCTAAAAGTCTGCATAACCTGGCTCCATCTTTGCTATTATGTTTTTTCTTCCTTGCTATTACTGTTCTCCCTTCTCTTCATGTGTACTTCCATAAAACGTCTCTGGTTTATCACCTTGTTTACTCCTACACCCACACCTTTTTAAGCATTTCCTTGCTCCAAAAGAACTCCAGCAACTAATATTTTTTAAACATTTTTCTATAGAGACTAGAAACGTTATTTACACAAAGATAATTGTTTATCTTGAGTGGTCTCATAGTATGTAACAAGTTTTTTGAGGACACTACCCAATGTTCAACAGATAGCATACTACTAAAGAAGTACTGTTAGCGTGTATTAGAAAGAAAAATTAAATTCCTGCAGCACACCTGTCTATCAACAAAACTTAGAAATGTAGTGGGGATCCCTACAAAAAATGTGGCTATATAAAGCCTTAGAAAAGTGTATGACTACTAGAAACCATTCTAGAACTTTGTCAGTTGCTCCTAAATTTTAAATTTTCTTATTCAGTTTCAGACAGTTTGTTCAGTTCCACTTAAGTGTGGGCAGATATCGCCTCTAGCTGTGGATTTGTGTTCAGAGTTTGAAGCAAAAAAGTTTGAGGGAAGTCTTCTTAAGAGTGTGCAGAACTAGGACTACAAAGGCAGAAAGTAGGGCAGAGTGAAACTTTATAGACTAACTGATTCAAAGAGGTATAAACTTTCATAGGCAACCACCTCAGTTATGTCTCTCTGAACCAGTAAGTCTTAAGGTGTCACCATGCCCTGCCTTCTGCCTAATATAATTACCTACCTCTAGGACTACAGTGGAAAGCAACTACGAAGGCTCTCGTATGCATGAAAAATTCAGTGGTGATAGTGCTATCCAGGAAAACATGAATTTTCTTATTTTGTAGGTGGAAGTTAAATCTGGAGAAGAAGATGAAGAAATTCTCTTCAAAGAGAGGGCAAAACTCTACAGATGGGACAGGGAAGTGTCTCAGTGGAAAGAACGTGGAGTTGGAGAGATCAAGATCCTCTTCCATACCCAGAAGAAATATTACAGAATTCTGATGAGAAGGGACCAGGTTCTCAAAGTCTGTGCAAATCATATTATCACAAAATCCATGAACTTAAAGCCCTTGAATACATCAAACAATGCTTTAGTTTGGACTGCCGCAGATCACTCTGGTGAGTTTTAGTGGATGGCATGTTTTGGGGGTATGGGAAGAGGGGGAATTGTGTGACTTGGAGAAACATCTATACAACACTTTTCAGTGCGTAAGACAACTGAAAGGTTTTTTTTGTTTCTGTTTAAACTGATACTGAATATGCTTGGAGTAATCTTTTTGGGAATTTTGAATTTCAGATGGTGAAGGAAAAGTAGAACAACTTGCGGTCAGGTTTAAAAACCAAGAAATGGCTGATTCTTTTAAGAGGAGATTTGAAGAATGCCAACGAAGCTCATCAGAACTGCAGAAAAAACATGTATCCTTGGCAGCAGGACTGTCAAAGGAGAGCAACCCTGTAGTGTATTTTGAAGTTTCTGCTGATGATGAACCAATAGGACATGTAACCATGGAACTCTTTTCAAATATTGTTCCTCGCACTGCTGAAAACTTCAGGGCCCTGTGCACAGGGGAAAAAGGATTTGGGTTCAAGAACTCCACATTTTTTAGAATAGTTCCTGATTTTATGTGCCAGGTAAGTGGAAGTTCAGGCCTTTTTAAGCAAGAGTAAACTAAACCCATCTTGACTGACTGGCATTTTGTCAGACTTTATGAAGAAATTACATACGATTATTTTCATAGGATTTCCTATAACAAAAATTGCTTATTATTTTAAAGTGGATTTACAGAAAACTTTTCAATTCACTGGGTGGGTTTTTACTTCGTTCCAAAGTTCAGATCTAATTTGAAAAATGGTGCGTATGTTTTCTCTTAATGTGTTTTTTCTCTTGTATTGTGCCTCAGGGATTTAAATAGGAAACTTTCATTTACAAGTAAAAATATTGGGTTGGGAAAGGCCAAGTGGAGTGCTTGTTCTGGCTCAGTATAAAACCAGTAATAAAGATTTTGCCAGTCAAATGCTTGTATTGATCTACCTGCATACTTCAAATATGTATCTGCACTTGAAATAGAAAACATAATGGACAGTAGGTACCACCTGGAGGAGAGTTGGGGGCAGAGGCTTTTCATAGCATTTACAACATCTTGTCAGTATTTAAGAATTTGGAGGGTAATGGATTTAATAAGACCTGGTCAGGTATAGTAGTTGGTTCCCTCATTTCATGCTTTGCCTTACTGTGTACCTACTTACTAAATGCATTCTTTATATTCACTTCATTTTGACCCATTTCTTTTTTTTCTATTCTTTTTTTTTTTTTTTAAGTCCCAGGGGTGGTGATCTTCAGCTGTGCCACTTAGTAATGCTAATGTTCCATATGATTGTAAATAGCATTACCTTTCTGAATAGAGAATGTAGTTCTAATTCTGAAGGCCGTTAAATAGCTCTACTAGCTTCTGAACATCATGCTATTGCAAGTTTATGCTTATTTGTGTGTTCTTTCACAAAGATACATTTAAGAATGTGCCTGTTTTTGCAGGGCCAACCCTTGTAAAATTTTTGAGCACTTTACGTGCAAGAACAGATTCAGTCAGAACACATCATACTAGTACAGACATTCAGGGCAGGAGGTGGCACTAAAAATAGCCCAGTGCCAGGGAGAGGGTAGGAAAGGTATAGCCTTGAGACTGGGGTCAACAGCTAGGCTTCCCAGCCCTGGGCTTGAATTGGAAACTGTACAGATGTTCAAGACAGATGAGTTGAAAAATGGACAACCCGACCTAAAGTTAGGTGTACCTCAGAGGTAGGTTTAGCTTTGATTGATCTAAAAACAGCTGATCCAATTTAAGTGTCCTGAACTTATGTACCGTTCGCACTAAGATTGACTTGTGTAAGGTCCACATCTAGGTGAACTAAGTTTGATTGGGTAGCCATTTTCAACGCAGTCTAACCTTCCCCTAATGTCTGTACCTAACCTAAGAGTAGACTTGATGCTTTGCAGTTTGGTCCTGAACTTGAAAGGTAAAAAATAAAATCTCATGGGAAGAACTAATAATTTTGGTTTGCTTTATGTTTGTCTAGCTTGCACAAAGTGAAGCTTGAAAAAACATTATCTTCTTGTTCTAAAAGAAAAAACTATCTCTAGCTCTAATTTTCTAATGCAGTTGTTTTCTGTGGAAAACAGCAAGTTTTCTACTTCATAAATATGTTTGGGTTTAGAAGTTTTAATAAATCTTTAATATTTTCAGGGAGGAGATATCACTAAACAAGATGGAACAGGTGGACGATCCATTTATGGAGAGGCATTTGAGGATGAGAACTTTGAAGTGAAACACACTGGTCCTGGATTACTCTCAATGGCAAATAGGGGCCGAGACACAAATAATTCTCAATTTTTTATTACACTTAAAAAAGAAGAACACTTGGACTTTAAACATGTGGTATTTGGATTTGTGAAGGATGGCATGGATGTTGTGAAAAAGATGGAATCTTTTGGTTCTCCCAAGGGAGCAGTGAGCAGAAGAATTGTTATTACAGACTGTGGACAAATATAGAATCATTGCTTTAACCTCATACCAATAATCTTTTAACAGCCTAAGTTGAAGTTTACCTGTTGGCCAATTATGTTCAGCATTTTGAAATGAACACTTCTGATGTATAAATGTAAAATTTACAGCTTTATAGCCAAGTATTTTTTTTTAATGTGTTCTAATTGATTTTGCATGTTGTGAAATAAAACAGTTCAAGCACTGGTGCATTTCAGGTGTATTTGTTATTCTGACATTTGTATTAAATGTCCATTTTCAAATTAAATCCTAGTCTTGTTAAAGCAATGGTCTGTGTCTTCACTTTGGTTTGTACAAGGAATATTACCGTTTCAGCTATTCTGGCTTGCTGCTCTGATGTATCAATATCTTGAGTAAGAGGATTTAGTATGGAAGTGCTGGAGACGTGGAAACGGCTAATGGATTCACCTTTTAACATCATCCCTGTAAGCAGGACCACTTTGTTTTATACACTAAAGGCTTGTATTTGCTACTTGGTAGTGTTGTGAGTTGTATTTGGGTACCTGAACACTGTTGGTAAATTACTGCCTGTGTAAGGTTGTTATAGGCTTTCATTGTCAAGATCTAATGGATACATTAAGGTCTCTTTTTGTCATTAGGCTTTTCTGCACATATTATTCCTATGTACAGAGGATACTACTAATAAAATATTTGACTATAGGATAAATGAACCTAGTAACACTTATTGGGTGGGAAAACTGGAAACAAAAAAACAAACCCTGAAAATTACTGTTCTGCAGACTTTTATCAAATGTTACCGGGTGACCTTTTTGTCACCATGCTGCTTGAATCGTTTGGGGCAAATGCAGTTTTTAGTTCTTTTTATGATAGCTTGTTTCTACTGAATGGCAAATGTTGGCTTAAATTTAGTACAGAGCAACAAAGTAATTATGTGTAAATTACACTTATTAAGTAAAGAGGGTTTTTTCTGTTAAACCTTTATAAACATGATTAATGAGTTAAAGCAATTTAATTACGAAAGTTTTGTGAAGTATGTAGATAATGTGCAAATCCTTCATATATAAAAGGCAATCTTTTCACTTTTAATAAAATACGTTCTTTATAATGTCAGTTTTGTAAAATAATCAGTTTTACAATATGAATTAAGCTAGAAAAGGTGGGGAGGAATGCAGAAATGTGTTTTATGTTCTGTTCTTTCTCTGTGACTTAAAAAGTAAACAAAATGTAAAGCATCCATGGTTTTCTGTTGCTTTAAACTTGTGGAGCTAAATAAACGAGTCTGGAGCTTTCCATCCTCATGACTTCAAACTGTAGTTGAGTAGCAACAAGATTCAAATCACCATGATTTTATTACACTTTATCAATAGATAGTTATATAAAAAGTAGTTCAATGTAAAATGAAACTTTTTGCATTGTTTTTGCCTAAATTTAAATAAAATTGAATTGGGAATTTGGTGTTTTTTTCTGGTCTACTGGTATAAAAGCAATCAAGGAAACAAACTGAACTTCTGAATTGTTTCTTAACTTCGGCTCTACCAGAATTCCAAAACATTTTAGTAAAGTTGGGATATTTTAGGATGGGTGTAGAAAGATGTAATGCTTAGATCGTTCTAAATACCTTTTTAAACACCATTGGGTCAGAGTTTTTAGTGAATTATCTGCAGTAACTCCCAGGCTCTCTTTTGAGTGACAGTTAATGTAGAACCTATATCACTGTTTAAGTGCATCTCTGGCTATTCTTTCCTGAGGTGTCACTTCTGTACTCATCAATGTGAAACTTCATTTGCCCTTTTGTTGTCCATTCACTCAATTTTTAAGATCCTCCTGCAGTTCTCTAGTCGGCTGTTGTTCGTACCATTTTGAATGACTTAGTCTCATCTGCCAACTCAGTCATGTCACTTGGTCTTACCCCAAACCACCTATGAACATACAAAATTGTTTGTGCACACCCCTTGCAGACCCCACTTCATAGCCCTAGGGATCTACTGAACTCAAGGAGGTGGCCAACTAATTTTGTAGGCAGATCCCAGGGCTGGCTGCTATTTTCATGGGTTGGCAGGCCCCCCTATACTTCTGGGCAAGGGTCCCTGGCAGTCCTGCTCCTCCCTGGAGGTTGTCAGATGACTCCAACTGCCACTTAAATTGCTTAACAATGTTTCCCTTAATGGCTTCCATAGGCCTAATCAGGGGATTAAGCCTACAGAAGCTGTTAACTGACGCTGTATTAAGCACTCTAAGCACTTTAAAATCAAATATTAAACTAAAGCTATGCATACCATGAATTGTAACTAATACCATCTCAGCATTTAGTTAAACTCTAAACTGAAATATCTTATTAAAATAAATTTATGTACAGCATGAATGCTAACTAATACCAGCTATTTACACTTTGTTAACTAATGCCAACTATATATGCTGTATTAAAGGACATAAAAAGGAGTTTACTAAAACTAAATGATAACCTTGAGACAGGCAGTTTGTGCTAGGTATTAAATGCAAGCATGCTGCATCCAGCCACAGTTGCTGCAGACAGGCTCTGTGGGGTGAGCACTTGTCCATACACAGAGATGGCATGCTCAGCATCACTGAGTTCATTGGAATGATGAGGCAGCATCTTGCCAGGGTGTAAAGATGTGGAAAATCAGTCACAGACAGAGTCCCAGAACACAGGTATCCAGTACTGATAAAGTTCATATAAGCAGCATGTTCAGTGTAGTGCTCTTTCCCCCATCCCAGGCTTGCTTGCAGCAGCTGAGGCTCACAGCTTGGAATAGGCACCTGATTGGGGTCCAAGATGTGAACAGCACTAAGAAAGGAGGCAGCCAGCTGTCTGAACTGTGGTGGCAGTGATACCTGTAATACTGATTCAGCTTCACAGCTGTTGCCTGAAATAGGTCCCTTTTGTGTTGCTTTTCATGAGGATAGCTTGATAGTTCTTGAAATGCCCTATCTTTGGACCAGTTTATCAAATCTATCTGCTATCACAGCCTGCCAGCTTTCAAACCATGGTAGGAGCTCCATGAACCAGGTAGCACTGTCAACCACAATCATCATTTGATCTTAAATGTTGCCTTGCCCTAAGAGCCTGTAAAGTTTAAGCACGCACTGTGTGCTGGGTGTGACTTCTAGCTCTTCACTCGAAACGTGCTGGTAGTGCTACATATGCTTGATGTGGTAATGGACTGTGCTAAATCATGAGTTCTACCATGTGAGCACAGGCTCTGGTGGCAGCAGCACAGTGCCATGTGAGTTCCCATTTTGACTGGCAAAGGACTCCCTGTACCAGACCTTATGTCCTGGACAGTGCTTGAAGGCTTTCTTGAAGGAAGACACCAAGCTATCCACATCAGGAAACTGCTATCTGTCCCTTGCTAAAGGCAGAATGTGTGCATTGCAAGTAATGTGACCTGCATTGGGCAGCATTCATTCAAGCACATCAGAGAAAGTCTTGCACATGTAAATGGCATTGCTGGACATGAATGCTGAGATCTTGTTAAAATCTACCCCATAGCTGACAATTACTTTCACAATTGCTTGCAATGCGATAGAAAAAATGACAGGCAAGATGAACTGGCTCTGTTTGAAAGACAGGCAGGGTCTTGATCTGTCCAGCTCCCTGGTACAAATAACTATGTGCTTATGAACACTTTATCTTGGGAGTCAGTGGATTCATCAGCCTCAATGGAGGATTCATACTCTGCCAAGGCAGCATTTGTAGACTGTACATGTGAAGCAATTGCAGCAGGGAGATGGTCTTGATGAAGATTGTTGGCACATGGAAAACTGCTAGCATTGGGCATGTGTTGTTTCACATAGTCCCTTAACTTAGGGTGATCAGGTTTCTCCAGCAGGATGTTCACTGCTGTGAAAGCCTCCACGAGGGAAAATGCTGCACCTCGCCTTACCAAGCTGCTTCCTGCGGTCCTTTTAAACAGGGAGGACACGGTCGCAACAGCCTTTCATTTCATGTGTGCCTCAGACCCTGACGTATTGATGTATGCTTCTTTTCCTCCACACATCCAAAGTTACACTGCAGGCAGTACAAAAGAGTCTGCCTCCTGTGTGCAAGGTCCCTGCAGGATATTGTCCTACATGGTGCAGCACTGAAACGTATTTGTCTGTCTTGGAGAATTCCTTGGTGTTCATTAACCCTGCTCCTCCTCAGTCTGCAGTATGCTGTAGCACATGCCTGTGGGTGCTTCAAAAGCTGGCACCAAAACCTTCCCTGGCTGGCCCCAGACTGGTTCCTGAACTGAGCCTGTCAGAGGTCTAGCCTCTGATTTGCTGTCCCCATCCCACAGCTGTCCTCTCCCCTGTGCTTTTAGGACTCTAGAGGGCTTCTCACCCTTTTCTCTTGCATCTTTTTTTTTTCTTTCACCAAAATTGCAGAGCCCACACTTTTTCACAGAGCCCACCTGAATTTGCAGTTTCTGTGAAAATTGCACGATCACAATTTCTGTAGGTCCCTACATATTCCCCTGTAAGAACTGACTATTTATAACTATTCTGTTCCGCCAGTTCCTGATCCACAACTCTAACTTGCCTCTAATTCAACACTTGGACAATGTCTTAAAAGCAACTTGCTCTGAAGGTCCCCAGCTCTTGGATGTTGCCACCGCACTCCTGACTTGGCAATCAATTCCCCTCATTGCTGATGTTCTGGCTTTGCAGGCCAGATGTGGGCTGCAGGTACCTCTGCTCTAATTCTGTGACCATTTAGTTTCATTAAAAACCTCTGATGCAGGATTTTCAAAGAGCTTACAAAAAAGGTCAGCTACACTATATCAGTAGTGCCCCACCTCCTGTTGTGGACCTCATTTAGCTCAGAGCTGTCATTTGGCTTGAGGGGCTGCCCACAAGTTTGGAAATACAGTGGCAAGGGAGCCCTAGCAGTATTAATTGATGCCCCCCTGCTGCCAAGTTTCTGACCTCTGGAGAGTCTCATGGATAGTGTCCCTGCATGCTAGATCACATTGGCATGAGTAGTCACTCAATGGCTGAATCCAAGTGTGTGGGATCAGGCTGGCATGCTCTATTATAACATCTGCAGACTGACAGGAGGACCCCACATGCACCATGATCCGCTGCCACTCATGAGGTCTGTGGGGCCAGAAGCACTGTCCTATATTAACTGGATCATTCTGATCTGGATGCTTGTAGTTTTCCCTGTGTGGCGCTCAAGCCTAAACAGGATGGAGCCCAGCCAACCAAAGCATCTTCCCCATAATTCCCAAGATTAGAGTGACACTGAGAGAAGCAGCTTGATTTCCATGTGGCCAAGGCCATCATCCTACCTTATGCTGTTCTGAAATGCTGCTTGTTTTCCACTGCTGTAAAATTATCTAAATACAGAGCATGTCCCCATGGAGGGACAAGGCAGCGTAGATTTGCACTTACAGACTACCTAAGACATAGAGCAGTGGTTCTCAACTGGGGTGCCTTGAGATCCTCTCAGGGGTATCAGGCAACATTAGCACTGTTGAGTGTGCAAACATGATTCATGAGATTAAACTGAGAGATGCCAAGTCCATGGTCTGAGTTCTTGGCAAGTGAACTGTTCTAGTATTTTTCTAGTCAGAAAGACAGAAAAAACAAAAGGGCTGGCATTTTCTGGGGGGAGGGGAATATCGAGTCTTAAAAGAGGGTTGAGAACCACTGATATAGAGCATAAACTTTGGTAAGCTCCTGCTGGCTTCATCAGTGTGGAGGGAGGCACATGGGTGGCCAGCTCCTTCCAGCCTCAAAGTAAGGTGGGCTTGTTGACTGTAGTGACAAGGGCCACCCACCCGGGGTGGGCAGGACAAGCCTGCCCTTGCCTTGCCACCAGAGCTAGGCAGAGAAGGTGTTGCATGGAGCTCTGCTCTAGTTCTTTCACTTCAGCGATTGCAGTTGCTCCTTTAGTGATTCTCAATCAGGGGTTTGGGTGCAGAGAGGACTTTTCATGGGCAGTGTTCAAACGATAGCGGAGCTGCCAACAGACACTCCTGCACGAGCTCCGCGACCCCCGCGCAAGCCGCCCGGGGGTGGGGCTGGAGGGCAGCACGGAACTCCCAGGTATCAGCCAATAGGCGGGCTGCACCACCCCCTCCAGAATATACCATCTGCCTCTT